TAAACTACTTGGAAGAAAAAGGAATCTCCAATGATTTTGTAGAAAAACTCTCGAAATACAGTACAACCTATGAACATTCTGCGTACATTGGCCTTTTAGAAGGATTATCTAAATTTGTGTCCAGAAAATAAGAGATGTGCTAAGATAAAAATAAGTATAAGTGTTATATTTCATTTAAGAATTGTGTTTTTAATAAATATTTGAATTAGACTTTGGTTTTTTTGCGGATTACTCTAGAAAATCGGAAAATTACTGGTTGCTATTTATTAACTGGAATATCTGGAGGAAGTTAATAGAAAAGGCGTACATCTGGTGGGTATCTAAATTTTTATTGCATCATGATTTTTTTTTACTAAAATTTAAGCAAAATACCGACTTCTTTATTAATTTCATTATTGTGAAAAACTATGTTTTCTAGATGAAAATGTTCAAAGACGAAGTGAAAGACGAAAGTGATAATTAGCCCAGGAGGGATCTATTTTAAATTTGACATTTTCTATAGGAGCCTATTTTTTGCTGGCACTTGCACGGTCAATTTTGGTTGGTTGGTTGTATCTCAGGAACCACTGCTTGCAATTCAACTTCTTTATTTTTGAAAGAAGCATCTTGTTGAGTATTTTCCAACGCCATTTTCTGAATTTAATAGAAACTACTAGTTACCCAGATAATCTATTTTGTTTATAAGCCAAAAAATTGTTTATTATTCTTAACGTGCCCCATCCCTAAGAATGTTGGCGATCATCATGGCCTGTTTGACTCTATCTGCAGCCATTCTGAAAAGTTCTATTGACATTTCCCAACTCCATTGTCTCAGATTCTTCAACCAAAACGTGTGTCTTCTCCCCAGTCCTCTTTTGTCTTCCATCCTCCTTTCTATGACCAGCCGCATCAATTCGTATTTCATGTTTCTTAGTATGTGACCAAAGTAGCTCATTTTTCTTTTCTTTATAGTGTTGAGTATTTCTTTATCTTTTTTCATTCTTCGAAGTTGTTATCCTCAACTTTATACAACAGGACAGAGAACACGTAGCATGTCAATACTCTAGTTCTAATTTCAATTGAGTTTTTCATTGCATAATATTGCTTTTATCTTATTAAAAGCACTTGTACCTATCTCAATACGCCATTTTATTTCCGTACTTCTATCTCATTCTTCATTTAGTTCGCAACCTAAGTACTGATTCTGTGCACTCTGCCTAAAAGTTTTCCTTTAGCATAAACACGGTCTTTCTCAATCTTGTTCTTGCTTACTACCACGATTTTTGTTTTATTTGTATTTAGTGCCTCTCCATACCTTTCGCAGTATTGGGTAATGCGATCAACCAAGATCTGTAGTTCTTCTCCGCCGTTCGCAAGGAGTATTGTGTCATCTGGCGTATCTAAGATTATTCAGAAGTGTTCCGGTAATAAATATGCCTTCATTTACGTCTTTTAATACCTCTTTAAACAATTCTTCTGAATACATATTAAAAAGTAAAGGGGAAAGCACACATCCTTTGGTTGGATTTCTAGGTATTTCTTTTGAATTTTGTTGGTCTATTCGTATTATGGCTTTCTGATATCAGTATAGATTGGCAATGATTCTGATGTCTTCGTCATCTATTCTGAAAGTTGACTAGACATATGAATATGTCTCAATTGACATCTCCACATTGTTCGATTAGTGTTTGTACAGTACTTAATGCTTCTCTGGTGCCAAAGCCTTTTCTGAATCCCAATTGGTTTTCAGCTATTGACTATTCGGATTAAGATCGCAGCGCCAATGCGGTATCAATTTGAACCGAGCTAAGAGCCATTATAACAACTGTTTACACCTCATCTTGTATATTGCGATTGCGTTAGTTTTATGTTTTTGAGTAGTTTTGTTCGTTTATCCATGGTTTTTTAAATTCAATATTTTTTGTTTGACTATTGTTTATTCCTACTGATTAATACATAGACAATTTTGTTAATTATAAGTTTTATTTTAGTTATAGACTTGTTAGAGTTAAAGAGTTAACAAGAACTTAAAGTTCTATTTTTTAATCCTTAAGTTAAATATCTTAGAATATATGTAAGTTTTTGGGTGGTACTAAAAATTCAAGATGTGCTGTAGAAGGAGAACAAGTTTTAAACTCGGTTATCTTATTTTGACTGGAAAATTCACTGACGTAAGTTATTAACCCACCAGGTGAAACACCAATCATAAACTAATTGTTAAATGGGATTTATATTGAGAATAAAATAGTATTCGTCAACACAAACACTTGGAGTCTGTACATAAATGTCAGTACAGTCCAAAATTAGCCTAACATTTTGAAAATCAGCAAAACAAACTGACATGTTTTTAAGAATTTCTCCTTTGGTGGGAAAATACACCAAAGGCCGTAAGTTGTGGCTCAAGATAGGTATTAATTTATAAATATAAGTTTTTGTTAAGTCAGCTGTTATACCAAACAAAGAACCCAAAGTGGCATAAGTCAAATTTAACTTAAACTTTGTAAGAACTAACATTATCCGCTGTCGAATGTTTACCTATGAACTCGTTTGTCCTTAATATAATTTTCAGTCGTATTTACTATACAGTTATAAATAGTGAAGTTATGTACACAAGTACAGTTTTTTAATTTAATGTCATTAACGATTTCATACAATGTAAGCACTTTTGGAGTGTTCACTTGCACAACTGCATCTTTTGAGGAAATAGTGCTATTCTGGACTAGAAAGTAAAAATACATACTCTATCATATGTACAAAAGTACATACACTATCAATTAAATAAACAAAATTAAAATCGATTATATCTTTTAAGAAATCTCTTAATCTAAATTGCTAAGTGACTAAAACATGTGCAACTATTTGATGACCTGTTATGAAATATGTATAAACTGTGTGATAGTTCTTGGACAATATTTAAATGCTAAATGTTTCTATTAGTTATGGTTTTTTATTTGATTGTTACAGAACATGTAAAAAAATATATTACATTTTTTTTCTCTTGGTTAAGATGAAAAGCAGAGGTACTGATTTCTTGAAATCAGCACCACCTGATCTTCGGCATTTTTTCTTTCTTATTGTATTATATGCATGTATAATTTTATATATTTTGTGTATTGTATGAATTTGAAGGAAAAATAAAGATTTTTATTATTATTATTATAATCTCCAATGACACCAAAACACAATATGCCTTCAATCAAATGGCCTTCAAGGTGAAAGAAAATAAATAATGGCTCTTAACTCGGTTACTGCAATAGCCGCTAGAGGGCGTAATGCTTACGACGAATTGCCAATTCTATCATCTAGCTTTTTATAGATACGTTCGTGTATCACTTGTAAGAACACTTTTAGAATATGGTTTGTTAATTGTCCTGGGCTCTTCACACTTCATTGTGTTTGATTTTTTTGGGTATTGGAATGAATATTGATGTTAACCATTAAAATGTCATTAAATAATTTTATTAGTGTGTCCATATAATTTTTTGTTAATATTTTTAAGATTTCTGTAGGTATTTCATCTGGTCCCATGACCATGTTTATTATTAAAAAATTTAAAATGTACCTGGTGCCACCCAAATAATCCGATTTCAATTCCATAACGTATGTTAGGTTAGGTAGAGTGATTTATATAAGTAAAAAAATTGGCAAAGTTCTATATGGTCTAATTTTTATTGTGCAGTATTTTAAAAAATTTAATTTTTTTCTAATGCGAAATCTTTTAAATCGATTTGAATGAAATTTGGTGTTATAAATATTTTCTAGGCGAATTATGAAGGTCCTAAGTGCAATCCAATTGGTTTAAAAACATTGAATAACACTTATTTCCCCCTCTTTTTTGTATTTATTGCCATTTTGCAGCAAGGGTATTAAATTAAAACATTTTTAACCAGTCGTATTTATAGAAAATTCAATTATCGCTATTTTATTTCATTACAACTTTGCTCCAAAATTAATCGCCAAGTTATAAGCAAGGAAAGTAAAAAAAAAACGATGTTTTTAGTAATTTTGAAATATTTTAATTTTTTTATTAATATTCCCAATAAGTCAATTATTATTACAGAAATTATCACACAACTTTTTCTGCAAAAATCCGAATGCCTATTTAAAACAGATCTATTCTAGTCTACATATATGTATCGGGTAGTCCAATAAGCCGATCTCTCGGCTATATATCAGTAGGAGAAAAAATTCCTTAGTAAAAGTGGCCAAGAGTAATCGCTGGAAATAACTTTCAAGTTTCTGGGTTAACCGCTAGGGGGCGTAACCTGTGAAGAAAAATTTGAAAACCAGTTTTATGAAATATGCCCAATTATACCAAGTGTTAAATAATTAAACTAGAAAGAAGCTACTTTTTTTTATTTTTCCAAATAAAGGGTGGGGAAGAGTGGGAAAGTATTTATGGATAAATACCTATAACTTTGGTTTGGATCAACCGATTTTAACGAAATTAGTGTCATTAGAAATAGTGTGGATAATTTAATTTTCATCTGCTATAAAACAATTGCATTTAGTTTTAATTGTCATGGGTAGAGGGTACTTTCGAATAGAAAAAATTAAAATTTGTTTTTTTTGCAAAATGTTTAATGGAAACACCTATTTATTGTAAATTATAATGGAACTGGATTAAATTCGTAACAAAATGGCGCAAGCCGCATGTTAATAGCTTTTCTCAAACTCGAGATATGAATAAGACGCATAAAGATAAGTAAGTATTGCCACCCTGTATTATAAATTAAATTAAAAAATAAGTCAGTTGATACTTTCAATTTTTTTTAATAGCAGAAGAATCTTAATGTTGATACCATTGTCATTTCATATGATTAAAAATAGTTTTTTTCGAAACTAAGTAGGCTACGACAATGAATTTGACGGGGAGTTCATATTGTTTATTTATTGAAAGCAGTCAAAACATTGTTAAGAAGTGTTATATTAGAATTCGAATGTCCGAATACTCACCTATACAGGGTGCTACAAATTTTTCTTATGAGAAAATAAAAATCTTTGAAAAATCCAAGTCGTTTACTAAAAAAGTTTTATTTTTGGTTTATATAATACAAAAATCACAAATAGAAAATCAATAGCGTTTGATAAAAACTTTAAATACATTTTAAATATTGTCTCGAATCGGTTGCGTATGTGCCATATACAACGTAATAATGCTTCCCAGGGCGCTCACCAAAAATATGACGTCAAACCAACGATGGTAAAAGTTGAATTGTAAGGCACCTAAAACCTGCGTTATTATGGCTCTGTACTGAACTGGCATATTCATCCTTAGAAGTAGGACAGATGACACGAAGTACATTCCCATTATTTGGGCCAGGACCAAGACGATTATATTCGAACTTTTACTGGACGACATTCGATTGAAGAACTGAAAGTAAAGAGAAAACATTGTTTTTATATTGCACGTACATCCATGGGTATATTAATGTCGCCTTTACACGTGTCAAGTAACTTGAACAAGTACTAAATCAAGTGTCTATACGCATTTCAGTAAAACTTTTTAATAGTTTATTTTATAATGACGGAAAGTGAATCTCGTACTCGTTTGCAGAGGTGTATTTTGCAAGTCTAGACAATTGGCTGAATAATTATCTGACAAAATTGTAAGTCGCCGGAAAAAACGTGTGTAGATTAGGAAATGGCTGTCTAGGAGAGAAGATGTTGGCGCTTCGGCCACGTTACTAAAAGAACTTTGTTCTGAAGATCAGACCGAGTACTGCAATTGTATGAGGATGCCTAGAGCAAGTTTCAACCAGTTGTTGGACACAATGAATCCTCTTATTAGTAAAAAAGATACGGTAATGAGAACTGCTATTCCCATAAGAAATATGATATAAATAACATCCTATTTGGCAAATTTACAATACTTTAATTTCCTTCTAAGAATCAACCAATTTTATTTAATGCTCTACCTGATACTAAAATAGAAGAGTACTTAATAGCTGTTGGTGACGTTATTCATCCACGGAATATTTTATTTTTATCAAGACTATCCAATAACAGAATACGTATCTATCTCTCTAGCGAATCCTTGGTTGAAAATTGTATGTCCAATTCAGCAGAAATAACAATAAAAGCCGAAAATCCAAAAGCATGAATATTAATAACTCGGAAAATAAGACTATTACTATCTACTGTTTGCCCTTCTATTCAGCACACTTAAATTAATGTCACCTTTAACCTACCTTAGAATAGGTATCAGCTCCCAGAATTTCAACACGTCTTCACTTTTAGAAGAAAAACATATTTTTTAAGTTTAGATAAATCCTTGTGTAAACAGATCACATTGCAGCAAATTTTTCGAGTCGTAGTCCACAAAATGATTCCACTTTTATGGTCCACCAAAAACAACAGCTAATACAACAACAACCATAGGAATTCTCCCAGTCTAACAAATCACCCTTAGAAATACAACCACATTTTCCCCGTCAGTAATTCTATAGTGCCGAACCTACATCTAACCAAGAAACAGATACGAATTTAATACTTTCCGTACTTATAGAAACTAATTTTGTATTTTTAAAGATCCGTCAACGACAAACAAGAGAACAATTTCGGAAATCAATACTACTACTCCATCTCCCACTGAAGAATTAAATAAAGAACTTAAAATCCCAAAATCAACCAAAAAAGCAACATGAAACGACCATATCAATTCAGAAAATGATGATGCCCACAAAAATAATAGTTCACAATATGTCAAATAATTTTAACTTATCTACCTAGCTCGTCTGATCCCCTTAGCTTACTACAAACATACACATCGGATATACTTCACTTTATGAATACCATAACAATTAAGCCGTATTTTACAGAAAAAAGTATGAAGATCCAATGCACTAAAATAATTAAAAAAAATACAAAAATGCTAGACTTAGATGATGTCGGTAATCAAGAAGTGATACTACAACAAATTCATCTTAAGAAATAAACTAAAATCATCGATCCAATTCTTCAATATCAAATTTTATGTCCGTTTAGAAATGCTTAAACAATTATGTTCAATAATCTCGCCATCAATTATTTGTTTAAAAGAAACAAACTTTAAAGGAAAACATAGTTATGACATGAGGAATTATTCTTGTTTTCATAAAAACCGAAACGATGCAAATATTGCTAGTGGAGGTGTTGTTACATATGTTAACCAAAAATATGAATCGAAAGCATTATTAATCAGTAGTACATTAGAAGTAGTAGGAATATCAGTGTGAATATCGGATAGCCAAGCGGGCTGGGCGGCTGACTTTTCATTCGGTTCAATGCAAGAGATGTCAGTTCAAATCTCCAGCTCGGTGTACAGAAAACAAAAAGACTAACGCAGCAGTTTAAAATTCTAAATGAATCTGCGGCTTAGTCTAGAATATGCTAGTATCTGATCGGCCTATGGTGGAGCAGTACGGCAAAGGATAAGGGCTTGCAGCTCGGTGATACTCCTCCATAGATCCCTACCGGAAGGGCGTAGGCCGCCTAAATACCGGGTATATATATATATATATATATATATATATATATATATATACAGTGTAGGAAAAATTTTATGGTCGGTATGGACCTTACGTGAGATGGAGTGAGAAACAGCTGTTTAGAAAAAGAGAGGTATATTAGGTCCGCCCTTTATATCGCCAAACAGACATGCCTGGAAAGGGGAAGTTCAACGTTGCCAAACTTATTGGATTTATTTGACCTGTTGTTTTTTTTTGCATTTGAACAATGTTCTAAGATAATCCAATTTGGGCGAAATTGATTTAAATAGCAGCTTACTGTTTTTTTTATTGGGAATATGCCACAAGTTTACTTTACAATAAGTGTAATATAACATTTTGATTTCCACTTTGGAAATCGTTTTATATACCTAAATAAAATTTATTAATGTTTCGTATTTTAAGTACTATTTCCGAATTAAAAATCTAAACATCAAAATAAGCTTATTTTAAAGTCACATTGTGCCTTATTCCCAATATGAAATAATAAACTGCATACAATAACACCACATTAAAAAATATTCACACACAATAATTTATTTGGCAACGTCGTCCGTCTGGTCAGAATACCGAGTAACGGGTAGTAGAGGTGGGTCGTGGTAATTTTAATCGTTAAGAGCGTAAGAGCGATTAATATTTTTTAAATGCATTCATTTTTTTCGAATCCTGATAAAACTAATAAATATTCTTGAAAAATTTAAACGCAGAATGAACCAATACATTATTACCGAGGGCCAAAAGTCCAAAAAAAATGAATGAATTTAAAAATTTATATTTTGTAAACAAGTAACTATGATTGTTTAAAAGTAGTTTCAAGTAAGAGAGTACCTACATAAACAAACATAATGGCTATTATCGTTTATGTGTATATTTATTGAAGTGAAAGAAACTAATGATATATTTATTATAACTTGAAAAATAAACTAAACCATACAAATAGTAAATCGTACTTACATTTACATTACACGTTATTATTAAATCGCGAATAGTCTAAATTGACATTAAAAAACATAAGTTTTTCTACTATACCTGCTTCTTATTAACCGTCTTCTTTTTTATTTCAAATTAAACCAGATTTTGAACATGTGTTCACATTTACAATACTGTATGAATATAGGGGTTAAGTTAGGATATACATGGCGATGTTTTTTCCACCGTTGTAATGGACTCTCGATACAGGTGTACGTGTAGATGAGCTCTAACTCAGTCAATCTTTTTAAACCTGTAATAGGTGAAGTTCTACCTAGTTTCCACGTCTTGGATTGGCCGTTTGGGAACTTTGTTATGTTGTAATTAAGCCTTTCTGAAGATAAGGTACTTTTTTTAATGTTTTTTGCAGAATTGTCGAAAAAAGGACTTTTTTTTATCTATTATCAAATCAGTATTGACATTACATTCCTGAAGTAATGAATCTAACAGTTTTTCTTGTTGGCGGTTTATATCCAGGAATCCACCCTGCAAACTTTTTAAAATCTGGTTCTTCACCTATAGAAAACGGATGAAACGAGTCTTTGCATAAGTTTAGTAAATCAATAAGTTTAGTCAAGAAAAAGAAACTGATAAAGATGACTTAAGTCCATTGTGTATTTTTGATGAATTAATTGGACATGACTCATCTAAACATACAACTGTATCGAGAGATATACAAGAAGTCGACATGTATTTGTCTAATAATATATTACCCACAATAAATTTCGAACGGAGATTGGAACTGTCCATTACCGTGGTGGAAAAACCATCGCCATGTATATCCTAACTTAGCCACTATATTCATAAAATATTGTAGAATTGTAACATTTTAAATAAAAGAAGAACACAGTTAATAAGAAAAGTAGCAAAACTTGTTTTTAAATGTCAATTTAGACGGTTCGCGATTTAATAATAACGTGTAATGTAAATGTAAGTACGATTTAATGTAAATGTAAGTACTATTTGTATTGTTTAATTTATTTTTCAAGTTATAATAAATATATCCTTCTTTAGGTTCTTTCACTTCAATACTTATACACATAAACGATAATAGCCAATATGTTTGTGTACTCGCTAATTTGAATCAACTAGTTACAGTTTACGAAAAACGGTTCCGATAAAAATTTAAAAAACGGGAGGACCCACCTCTAGTTTTTAGGTATATTAGGATCGGAACCAGAGAATATGTAAAATATCTCTGATCGGAACTATTCGTCTCACTAATGGCCAATAGGTGTTAAAAATATTTGAGGAGGGGAGACCAAGGGGAAATATGATTGTTATCTTTGTCTATTCGCTGAAAATATGATTTTATATCTGCGTTAGATATCCTGTTAAATTTTACCATACCGACCATAAAATTTTTCCTACACTGTATATATATATATATATATATATATATATATTATATATAATATATATATATATATATATATATATATATAATATATATATATATATAATATATAATATATATATATATATATATATATAGGAGTATCAGTGTCCTTTCCACAAAAAAATAAATACATTTAGCTAATATTTATAATTATTAATATATTTATAAAAACGAATGGAATATTTCACAATCGACTCTACACATCGTAAAGCCCTCAACCGAATCTTGGTGTGAGATAAATTTAAATCGCCAGCTATTTGTTAAGCTAACCCGTTTACGTATAGGTTATAGCAGACTAACTCACAGCTACCTAATCTCCAAATCAAATCGCCATATTTGTGACTTATGTAACAGCGACATTAATGTAAGACATATCTTAATAGAGTGTGTCCTAAATATATCAGTGAAAGACAAAAACACTCACTACATAATAATATAAAAACAGTCTTAGGAACTCATTGTAAATTTACAAATATGTTTTAATTACCTGAAATATAATATTGTTTTAAACAAACTGTAACTATTAATGTTTTGAAAATCCTAATTACAAATAGTAAATGATGACATTCTTACTATTCTTCTTACTTCTTCTCTTTTGTTTATCAATAAAAAAAAAAAAAGATTCATTTTCCATTATAATAGTTTATAAATCTAATAGTTGTTACCTATATTGTGTCTAATATCTATATGACTATAATTAAAAATAAAATCCACATATCCTCATTATGACTGAAGTCAGAACTTATCATTCAGTGTTAACATCATAGACACGAGGAATCATAACCAATCTCATATGATAAATCATGTAGTATAAAGTTGACTTAATTAATTTTTTTTGTATACTTCTTACCTTCGTTAAAGTAATTATGAAGCCTCTAATAGAAGTCACTACAATACAACCAACCAGATAAAAGGAAACCTGTTGTGACCAGAAGTCTACGTCAAAGTTCCAACCCATCCAATGTATCGCTATCTCAATTCCCCTTGTAACCGGATCCTTTTTCCCTACTCTGTCAAATACAATATTAATTGTACACTAAAAATTAAACAAAATGTAGTCAACAAATGGGAAAAAACAATTAGATTTGCTCACGATGAATATTTTCCAAAGGCAGTACCCAGAAAAGATGTATCCAAGAAAATTAAAGTATATTCCTTTCCACGTTTTCGACCACTCTATTCTTTCCAACATATTTCTATTTTCGTGGACTTCTAGGAACAACGTCCTACTTAAGGCTTCCAATCCTTCCGTTTCCAATCGAAGTTGAGAAATATCTGTAAGTAAAAAACCATCATTAAGTCAAAAGCCTAGCAACATCTATTATACTCGTATCACGAAAATAACCAAGGTTAACTTGTAACAGCAAAAAAAGATCTCAGCTGGTAATAAGTATAAAAGAATATTACGAAGGCCTTGTGCTCAAAATCTTGAGCGTAATTGGGGTGGGTATACCAATTTATTTGGTATAACCACAATTTTTTACAATAAAACCGATGATCACCAGCAGTCCAGGATAGTTTAAAGTATGTTTTCCGAATCACTAATTAATAATTCTTGTACCGGTCTGTAAGTAGTATTTTGGTTATTTACTAATTTATTTCAATTTAATAGAATGTCTTATACCAATTTGTGGATTTTCACTTTGTCTGCTTCATGAATTTTATTCATATTAATAATCACAGACAATGTAATATTGGCATAATTACTGTAATTGTTATCTTTATAATATAGCACCCTAATATGGGCTTTTGTAATTTCAGCATTTAATTTACCTGGTACCGTTAGACCTGAAGATGCTTAGCAAGGTATAGTAAGCGAAACCGGTCGTTTTGGTTTAAAAAATTTAAAATTAAATTGATTGTAAGTCTTTGTAGTATATTATAATAGAGAAAAGAAGAAGAAAGTCATAACACATGTCATATCAATTGTCTATGTTCTTACGTTTATATTTATAATCATATTTCGACTGTTAGTTAAAAATAAGTTATATACAACCATGTTTAATCCTTATTATTCTTCCTCCACATCACACTAATTTGGCGACGAGGTAAACGGTAAAGTGTATATTTTAAGGATTTCGTTTATGTACATATTTTTAGTGTAGACATTGCTAAAAATGCCAAAGAGTGGAAACGATATCCAGGTCGGGGAGCCATGTGGATCACGATCACAGCCCATAACAGTTGTACATGCAGGGAATATATCTTCATTAGCAACTTTTAGAAATGGTGAAGATTTTGAAATATTTGAAGAAAGGTTAGAACAATATTTATTGGCTAATTTAGTAGAAGAAGGAAGAAAATTTGCTGTATTATTAACATTACTCTGTGATGACATTTACAAAGTATTGAAAAACCTATGTGCACCTAGCAAATCAAAAGGGAAATCATTTGATATTATGGCACTATTAAAAAGCCAATTTAAACCTCGCATTGCAATTTATAGAAGAATAAAATTTGAAACATTGAGACAAAAGACGAAACCATAAATGAATGGTATATTAAAGTTAAAAATATGACAACTCAATGTGAATTTGGTGATAAGCTAATGTATAGAGTACAACAGAAATTCGTAGTTGGAATAAAACCAGGCCCAATATTAGACCAGGACAGATCCGGTGTTAGGTCGTTTGTTTAACCATATTAGGTATGGATTCCCGGAGACAGTAGATGAAATAATGAAACCGTTTTTAAATAGAAAAGAAGAACTATCAGTGGAGAAGGGGGTGATTATGTGGAGATTTCGAGTAGTAGTGCCAACAAAGTTAAGAAAACAATAGCTGTTAGAGTTGTACAATACACATGAAGGAATTTCAAGATGGAAGCAAATGCACGAACTTATTTTTGGTGGTCAAGTTTAGATACAGACATTGGATCTTATGTAAATAATTGTAAAATTTGTTTAGGGTTTAGAGCAGAACAAAGTAAAGCTAAGTTAATATCATGTGAAAAGGGAACACGTATGTTTGAGAGAAAGAAATAAAATGATTTTGATAATCATTGATACTTTTACAAAATGGCCAGAAGCATTTATTATGAATAATTTGACCGCTGGGGAGACTATTGACAAATTTAGAGATCCTCAATTTTTATCAGGTGAATTTTCATAGTTTTTACATAATAATGGTATTAAACACTCTACCATCTAGCATCACCATCATATCATCTAGCAATAAATGGGTTTGCAGAGAATTTTGTTAAGACATTTAAAACCGCTGCTTTGAAAGGATTGAAGGATGATTACAACTATAATAATTCTTTACAATCTATAATCAGTAAGTTATTGTTCCATTATAGAAATTTAATGAACTGTTCTACAGGTGTATCACCCTCCAGTCTTGTAATTAAACATAAAGTTAAAACCCGATTAGATTTGTTATGACATGTAGTGAGAATCAGAGTTCTAAATAAATTAATAATAAATTAAATAGTAATAGACGAACTGAAACTTTTCAAGTGGGGGATAAAGTCCTTTGTAGAGATTATCGATATCCCAATCGTAAAACATGGACAAAAGCAATAAAAGATGAACTTTTAGGTGACAGGATATATTTGTGTAAGATAACACAGGAAGGTTTAATTTGGAAAAGATATTTGGACCAGATTTTGCGAGATAAAGGATCTGATTTTAACTACGATAGTCTTAATGAAACCATTGTAACTGATATAACTAATAGTAATAATACAATTAGTAACAGTGTTGGACCCCTCTCAGCTGTAAGAGAAGGGAAGTGTTAAAACAAAGTGATATTGAAGCGAGAAATTTTGAAGAGCCAATGAAGCATTGGTTAGTGAGATTAATGAGAAACCAGAGACCAAAGAAAGTGTGACAGCAGTTCCAAGTAGGTCAAAAAGAAATGTAAAACCACCTGTGCATTTAAACTCATAGTGGGAAGGTATTGTAGTATATTATAATAGAGAAAATAAGATAAAAGTCATAACACATGTCATATCAATTATCTATGTAACAAGGTTTATATTTATAATCATATTTCACTGTTAGGGTAAAATATAAGTTATATAAAACCATGTTTAATCCTTTATATGCTTCCTCCACATCACACTAGTCTTATTTTATTTCTTTTTACCTATTTGAAATTGACTCACACAGGCAACACATTCATGATTTAAAGAAACAATTTTTAGAATAGAGTACAAGTAAAAATAACAAATGCAGAATTTGAGAAGATATATGCAGAATGGAATATTTTAGAAGGCAAGCGATTACAAAGGATGAAATCATTGTGCTTACTTTCTTCACTCCTGTTTACTCCTACTGACGACAAAATAGACCATAGACCTCTTCTCTTTGTTGCATCACTAACTTTTTCCAATGACTGCTTTTTAGCTATTGCCAGTTTCTTCTTTCTCAAAACAATCATGTCCATAGTTTGCATTAATCTCTTTTCTATATTTAGTACATCTGCTTCTGAAACTTCCCTGTAATATTTTATATATAGGTTAACATGAAATTTATTTTTTTTTTGATACAACTTTAGACCTACTTATTTTTAAAATTTATAACATTATTCACGAATTATTTTTCATATTACATCTCTTTTAAAGTATAAGTAGTGAATTAAGGGATAAAATAATTTAGTACATCAGTATTCCTACTTTAAAAGCAAAGTTCCTTCGAAAATATATGGAAAATCTTAATATTGTGCATCCCAGAGAAGTTTTTTTACTCGAACCTGAATTTACTCAACGGGAAATAAAACAGTTTCCTGGCAAGAGAACAGTGTTAAAAGTGTATATATATACCAGAAGATTATGATGGTAAATAGGGATTTGTTACTAAAGCAGTAAAAACTAAAGTTTTATTATTTTGCTCAAAATCTAATGTAGTTGATTATTATGAAGAAATGAACAATGAAATTTTCACTAAATGGATAAGTGAACCATCAATTCCTAATAATTTAGAAAAGCCACCATCAATCGTTATGGAAAATTCTCCAAATCAAAGTGTTTTTTTTTAAGAAAAGCAACCTTCCACTGTTTAATTAGAATGGAAATTATTACCTGTAGTAGAAGCCACAGTTAGAATGCAGAACAAGCAAGATAGGCAATGTATGTCTTACGGGAGAAAGGTCGACCAGTTTTCAGGTTTGCAGGTCGTTAGCAAGCGAAACCCCCAAGTAAAAGGAAAGGATGCAAATAGAAAAATTAAGGTTTATTAAAATATGTACCTGGAACATCAAGACCATGTACGAAGCAGGCAAAATTTATAATGCCATCCATGAAATGGAAAAACTGAATATCGATATAACGGGCATCAGTGAAATGCGATGGCCTGATGCCGGAAAATGTCAAATAAACGAGCACCAAGTATACTACTCCGGAAATACAGAAGGTCAACATAAACATGGCGTCGGAATATTTTAAATAAACAAATAAACAAATGCGTTACGAATTTTGTTCCAATATCCGAAAGAATCCTGCTCATTCAATTGTCTGCATTCCCAGCAAAAATCAACATAATCCAAATATACACACCCCCAGCAGACAAATCAGGACGAAGTAATAGAGATTTTTTATTATGATTTAAGGAAAGTCCTAAGTAAGTTAAAAACTAATGAAGTAACGCTAGTTATGGGTGACTTTAATGCCAAAATCGGTAAGGGTAGTTATGGTGAAGTAGTAGGTTCATGGGGTCTGGGTGAGCGAAATGAGAGAGGAGAACGCCTACTCACATTTGCTACGGAAGAAGAGTTGGTAATCACAAATACACTCTTCAAATTACCATACAGAAGATTGTACACATGGAGCTCATCCGGTGACACGCCAGGAAATCTGATAAAAAACAAGATCGACTATACTTTAATAAATAAAAGATTAAAAACTCAATAACATCAGTGAAAACCTACCCACAACCCACGTGTCGCTAAGTTTCGTCTGAAATTTAAAAAAACCCACAAACTTAATCCTATAAGATACGATCTCAAACAACTAAGAGATGATGACATAAACCAAGAAGTACGGGAATATCTGAAGAACAACATATCTAAGTCAAAATGATGTTGACACAGAAATAAACCACTTAGAAAACAAATAGGTAAAGAAATAATAAATAAGACTTACTCACAATCAATTTAATTTAACTATTCAGACGACCGGTTTCGCTTTCTACAATATGCAAAGCATCTTCAGGTCTCGATACAAAATTAAATAAATGCTGAAATGATTTCAGCATTTATTCAACTTTGTATCGAGACCTGAAGATGCTTTGCATATTGTAGAAAGCGAAACCGGTCGTCTGAATAGTTAAATTAAATTGATTGTGAGTAAGTCTTATTTATTATTTCTTTACCTATTTGAAATGGACTCACACAAGCAACACATTCATGATCACTTAGAAAACATTGGGAAGGAAATATTAGACCAATACCTGCGACCGACAAATGCAGCAAAGAAAAAACCATGGATGACCGACGGTATATTACAGATGATGGACAGAAGAAGAGAATCCAAGCGGAAAGACTACGTTGCATATCAATTTCTAGACAAAGAGATAAAAAAAAAGCTGTCAGAGACGCTAAAAATAGAAATCTAGAAGAACAGTGTGAAGAAATCGAGATATTGGAACGTAAACACGATTCCTCCAACCTCCACAAAAAGATCAAAGAAGCAGCAGGCATCTAAAAATCAAAAAGGCCGAGATACTTAACAGACGCTCAAGGAAATTCAATAGCTGATATTGAAGAAACAAAAACAACATGGATGAACATGTGACAACAACATTTGAAGACGATAGGAATGTCACCATCACACAAAATAAAAAATGACGATACCGGACCACCTATTCTCGAAGCTGAAGTAGAATCTGCTATAAACAACGTTAAGGAGGGAAAAACAGCAAGACCACACGAGTTCTACTCATAATTTTTGAAAATTATGGATAAAGGCGAATAAAAATACTTACCTTGATCTTCAACAATATATACCAAAGTGGAAAAATACCCCAACAGTGGCTAAGATCAACTTTTATAACAATCCCTAAAAAACTCAATGCCAAAAAATGTGAAGATTATAGAATAATAAGCCTTATGAGCCATCTCCTGAACACTTTTTAAAAAATTATACATAAAAGAATATATAAAAAGTGTGAAGAACACATGACAAACACACAATTCGGCTTCAGAGATGCATTGGGTACTCGAGAGGCACTTTTTGTAATACAAGTTATCTTTCAAAGATGTAGAGACGTGAATTGTGATATATATGTGTGTTTGGTTGATTATCAGAAAGCGTTCGATAGAATAGAACATGACGAACTGATGAAAATATTAAATTCAATTGGTCTGGACAGCAGAGATCGCCGTATAATAAACAATATCTATTACGAAAAAACTGCAGCTGGTAGAGTTGGGGATCAGTTAACAGACGATATAAAGATAAAAAGAGTTGTGCGACAGGGATGTATATTGTCTCCATTATTATTCAATACATATTCAGAGCACATTATGAACCTACCGCTAACGGACATAGACGAGGGAATACTTATAAACGGAGAACGATTGAACAACATAAGGTATGCTGATGATACTGTCATTTTTGACCAGGCCATCCTGGAGACACTTATCTCCAGGGTGGCAGAAGTAAGTAGCAGGTTTGGGCTTGATTTTAACATAAAAAAACCAAATAATGTTTATAAGCAAAAATAGGATACCATCTGGTCAATTACTAGTTAACCAACAACCTATAACACAAATCACCCACTTTTTATCTACAGTATTGTGCGAATTAATGGAATCATAGGCTGTTTTAATGAAAAAACAGTTTATTTAGTAAAAAAATATATTTTGACAAAACTATAAAGGTAAACTTACAATATTCAGTAGGAAATATGTCCCCCTTTGGCAGCAAATACTGCTTTTACCCGTTTTGGCATAGATTCTATGAGTTTCTGTTAGTTGTCAGATATCCTTTCATCTCGATACCAAACCTGAATGGCCGCTTCTATCATTTTTGTTTTAGTGGTACAGTCGATTTTTCGCAGTCTAGCTTTGCAAATGGCCCATAAATTTTCAATGGGGTTGAGGTCGGGCGAATTACCGGGCCAATCTAAAACATTAATCTTCTTATTTTTGAAAAATGCCATAATTTCCTTTGATTTGTGACAGAGATCAGAGTCCTGTTGAAGAATCGCTCCTCCTTGGGGTTGACATTTTTGGAGTTGTTTGTCCAAATACTTTTCCAACGTGGATTTGTATTTTTGGCTGTTGATCATGCCTTAAATTGGCACCAAAGATCCAACCTCCATGTGTGAAAAACATCCCCAAAACATTTTCTTGTGAATATTGAAAAAATGAAAAAAAAATTCACCGTGATTCCATTAATTCGCACAATACTGTAGGTGCAAACTTAAATGACAAAATATATAAATGATAAATCGACGAAAATTAAGATAAGGATTAAGAAGAATTTTCATCGAAATGAAAAAAATCTTTAACAGCCACGATATAAAATTGGAACTAAAAGTTCGTTTACTAAAATGCTATGAACGCATGTTGAGGATTTCCTGGATAGACAGAGTTACCAACGAAGAAGTACTAAATAGAATGGGTAAACGTCGCAAGCTGGAACACCTGGGCCATATAATGTGCAATGAACAACGATATGACCTACTTAGGACCATACTTCAAGGTAACGTGCATGGGAAAAGAGGTCCAAGACGAAGAAGAATATCCTGGCTGCATAACCTGCGAAAATGGTTTAATTTTGACCACTACTGGATTTTTCCGCTGTATAGAATATGGATGTAGAAATAGAAATTGAAATGTCAAAAAACTAACATTATCCTTTAATTGTGGCTTATTCCCGTTTAAGTACCTAATAATTAAATATTTCTTTACTGTAGATATTATTGGACAACCTGTAGGTTTCCAAAAGTTGAAAAATCACCTTCATAAATGTGTACCTACACAGTTTGCAAAATGTAAAAAATAAAATAAAAGAGAAGTATAAAAATGTCCATTGTAATATTAGTCATTTTCTAATTCTTAGAACCAACATAAGTTTGGCTCACATTTTGATTTATTTCCTATAATGAGAATGTGCAAAGGTCCAGCAGAACTATTGTAAATACCTACTCATAAAAGTGAGTGAAAAATCTGTTTTTTACCTCATAAAATAAGCCATGGATGTGTAAGGATAATTAACAGCACCAAATCCTGATAGTAAAGCCATAACAGTTACTCCTATTACTCCAATTCTTGATACCAGTTGTTCCATTGAAAGAACTCCTTGTTTTGGATTCAATATAGGAAACGGATCTCCAATTTTCCAAAATACTACTAGAAATATCAACCATACTAGTAAAGTCAATCTTTTAACATAATCCGGTTTAACTGAAAAACAAAATGAAAGTTGTTCATTTTGTTAAAGTCTGTTCAAAGTGAAAAACTGGCTAGTATTCTACAGCCATTTAGTAAAACAATAATTTAACTTACCATATCTGACACTACTTAGGCAGTAATATCCAATATAAAACGGATTCAATACTATTACAACAAAAAGCATAAAATATAGCATCACATACCAATAGAAAAACCGGGAACTATAACAGAAAATAGATAAATTAAAAGAAAGAACTTGCAATGTTAAAGATCAATAGTTATCTTTAAAATATGGTAATATTTAATTCAATGTATATTTATTAAATCGTCGGTATACTGTGAAAACCAGGTCAATTCACTTCTGTACCCCAGAATAAAAGTGTACTAAGTCCAAAATATCGATTTTTAAGGAGAGCGGTTTGAAATTTATCAATGTGCAGTTTTTAAGTTAAGGCCTAGTATTTTTCTTTCTATGTGACACCAATCTTTTTTTGGAATCTATGATCTATCATCTACTGAATTTAAAGTAATTAAAGCACTAAATTCAAATAGTTTTTTTGTCAAAAACTCATCATTTTTTGGTTTTGGACATAATGCAATTTTGTATTAATACCAAGTCAATTGTAAGGACTTAACATTATAAGCATAAATGTTATGTTACAATTCCAAAGTAAAGTCCAAAAAAGTTATCGTTATTATTTGACCACAACACAAAATAAAATAACAATTTTTATTGACAAAAAAAGCTTTTATAGAAAATAAGAAACTGATAATGTAGTTATCAGTAAGTTACAAAAGAAACACAAATTTTTCGGTATGGTTATCATCATCTTCATGTATGCTGCTATGCTTTAGGTTGACATAAAAATCATGGAAATGATTTGGAACCCGTTTCAATAATGTCTAAAGATGCTTGTATTGTTTTTCGTAGATTGGATTATCATAATCCCTTACAGTTTGTATTTTCTCAGAACATAGCACTGCCGTAATACGACTGTAATAATACGAATTAAATTGACTGCCTGAAATTCCTTTTCTTGAAAATTAGTTTTATAGTACAGTGTTCCATACTTTTTTTCCCTTATTTGTAAATATACCATTTTTAATAATGAGACATCCATGCCACAAATGCCATCCACATTTTTTTCTAGACAAAAATGGACACGTGATATCGCTATATAATTGCTTAAAATCTTTGAAATCACTTGTCTCCATATTAATCACCTCGAACGGATTAGTTATGATACGCATTCTAGCTAATTGTTGCCAGTTCCAGGGAGACATGATTTGAAAATTAGCACTCTTCTTTTTTTCGCATTATATTAATAAATGGCAAGCATCAACTTCTAAGTGAGTATGACCACGCAATAAGAATTTATGTGTAATGGTTTTCAACGTTGGAATTTTTTTTAATACATAAAAATAAGCTATAACTATAACAATAATTTTTTTTGGTGAGGTTTAACATGTGAAAATGCCACTTTAGCAATCCTGATGTCATTTCATTTGCACCTTCTCCTAATTTAGACTCGTCCCACATCAAACAAGTAGTAGCATTATTAGTAGCATCAAACAAGTAGTAGCATTATTAAAGAGTAAAAGCTTTGCGCGTTGGATAACACTGGTGTTGGGAGGCATTTTTGTAAATAGTTTGTACCAACTGGATATGCAATGATATAAACTGACGTTTACGGTTTATGTCTTTATATGCATCCCAAAAAGCAGCATTTATGTTTTTTTCTTTCTTGCTCAGAAATTTTTATATTCATTTTTATTCACTAATGAAATAATTCTCTGTGATCTGCTACTCATTTTTAAAATGAAAATATACTGAAACGAACTTAAAAACTACTCTGAAAACTTTACTATTTGAACTAACGTCTGTTTCTACAAACAGTCAAACTCAAACTATTAGTCAGAAATCATCGGTTAACATGTGCAAAGAGTTGGACAGAAATAGTTCTAACCGTTTTTCCCTTGGCCGCTTGTTAAAACTTGTATTTATTGGCCGCTTGTATTTATTTATTTTAATGACCATTTTAATTAAATATTAAAGAAGACTTCTAAAAAATTATACTTTTTTTCAAGAATATCTAAAAATTTCTCAACTGCAACTAAAATTACAGTTTTTAATGCAATTATTCAACCTGACTTCGATTTTTGCTCATCAGTTATTTTTCTCTTCAATTTAAATCAATTGGCCCAGTTGCAAAACTTACCAAATCATGGAATGAGAATCATTCTTGGTGGAAACAGATATACACCTATAGCAACAATGCTTAGCATGCTGCAGTGGGTTTTAGTTCAACAAAGGGTCTTTTACCTTACAATTGTGTTCATTTATAAAATTCTAAATAATTTGGCCCCTGCTTACTTTTGTGAATTTATTATTATGTGATATTCACAATTACCCTACTTGAGGTAAGTGCAATTTACACATTGTGAAAACAAAAAGGACAGGTTTAAGAAACTCTTTATTGTTTAAGGGTTTTGATCTTTTTAATAAGCTTCCTCAAACAGTTTGAGGAACCATATGAACCATATTAAAAGCACCAATAGTTAGGTTGTATTGTTGTCCTGTTTTATATTATTGTTTTATATTTTTTAATGTGTGTAGATACTATATTTTAAGTGTAATTGTTATTTTTTATCTTATATATGAATGTTACAAATTGATTAATCTTGTATGTATTAGGGCTTTCCCTATTTTTGAATAAATAAACTTCTTCTTCATTTATGATTTTAGCTTAGTAATTATTTCTAAATTTTAACTCAACCCGTTATCAGGTAGAATGAAATAAGTGTACTTAAAGGTTTTTACTAGTCGATATGAAATAATAAATCATACAAGTAAAATGTATTACACTTATCACCTTTTTACTGAACATGATATGCAGTAGAAATATATTGTTGTTCGGCATAATAATATATGTTGGCTTACTTTGTTTTACATGCAATAGAACTTTAATTTTATGTAAGTAAGTATAGGTATATTGTTTTATTTGAAAATGAAAAGGTGGTTAGGTGTAACTTATTTGTTTATTACACAAATTATCTGCTGAATGATAAATCGTATCATTTATTGGGATTTACCTGTATGTAGAGCGGAAAAAGCTAAGAATTTTGGTATACTTAACTCAATATTTTAAAATTTGTCATACTCCTGGTTTTCCCAGTATACCAACGAAATATAAACTCCCTGTACAACTGTATTCTCTCTACATTAGAAACAACAATACACGTTATCAATGTTTTCCTCCAATTTGGACTAGCAATAATTATTATTGTAGTAAATAAAGATTTACCTGGAATCTAAAAATCCTAATATTTCAAATATAATCAATTCAAACATTGTGCAGGACAATGTAAGAGTGGTGGAGAAAATCAATTGAACCATAATGTGTCGTACTTCATAATTTTTAAAAAGCCTCTTCATAAAAAAGATCCAAGCCCCAACAAAAAATGTTATCTGAAAGGATATTATTATTATTTTCTAAAACAGGGACATTAAACTTACTTGTGATGCGAGTATTATAATAGTATCTTGAAGGAAACTCATTTTTAGATATATTCTATTTCATAAACGTTATGGCAAGTGTACTTATTTTAAATAATTCCCTATTTCTCATTGAAATATTATTAAATTGTAGAAACACATCATCATATCCATCATTACTAAATGAGGTTATGTGTTATTCATTTAACTGTGTTTATTTTTTTCGACTGCTAGCACAGAATAAAAAACTCATCATTTTGTATTCTGTGCTCATCTGCATCTGTGCTTTTGGTTAAGCAGTTAAAATGAGTGGTGTTCGTGTTCAAATAAACAAGGATCTACAGACCGAGAGTTTGGTACAAATTCCACGGTTTCGCGCAATCGTACTTGTAAGTTCGTGAACTAAGTCGACTGGAGTTACAATTTGCCAAATTTAAATGTAATCGTTTCTACTCATTTTTGACACCAGATTCAATTAAAACGATTTGAAGCCCAAACTTTAGTAGGTGCGTTCGGTCAAGTAAACACGATCATTTTGAGAGTTTATGAACTACTAAATAGGGAAATTTTTCTCATCAGAGAACACGATGTTCGGAAATTCGCCACGTTCGCGCAGGCGTAACAACTCCTTTGCTCTTTCAAGCCAAACTTTATTTTGCTTTGGTGTAACATTTTTGGAGCTTTTTGGAACTTGTAAGACTTGACCTTGAGCTCCTTTTTCAATATTCGTTGCATGCTTCGCTGTGGTATTTTCAGTTCTTTGGTCATTTGATTATCACTATGACGTGGATTTCGCTCAAGTCAAGCCTTCACTTTCCGAACCATTTTAGGTGGTGTTGCTGTTTTTTTCGTCCACCACCATAGCGTTAAGCAATGCTACCAGTATCATTATAACGAGTTATGGTGCGATACACAAACATTTTATTCACTTTGAGGCGTTTAAGCTGACGAACAATAGCTGGTTGTGATTTTCCAGCCAAATATAAGGCAATCACACTATTACGTTTAAATTCCATTGCGAATAACTTTTGTTGTATGTATAAAACTTAAATGCAAATGATTTTGACGACTTACAAACATACTGAAGTGTTATCAGGCCAACTTTGAGGTAGCTTTCATTATCGATTTGCCAGATATATCGATGTGCAGTTGGTAACAGTTCAATTGCGTAACCCTGTATATCGGCAAGGATAACAAAGGCCATTGTTACATATTAATAAAAGGTGAAGCTGGTAGGGCAGCCCAGGAAGTAGGCAGTTGTCTTAAGAAACACATTGAAGAAAATGTTACTTCTACAAAACATGTAATTTTGTGGCCAGACTCTTGTGGCAGCCAAAACCGCAACATCAAAATAGTTTTGATTCTGAAAACAATTTTGGAAACTCATCCTATCATTAATAGGATTTGATTGAACGTTTATATACCTTTGATGATTACCTAAACGTGATGTAGAAATCCTATAAAAAGAACCCGCTAGTAGTTCACAGAATGAAAAAAGAAGAATTCGTTAGAAAACAGTAAGGTAAGCTGGCTTAAAACAAGAGGAATTTAAATAAGAAAGAATAAACACCTTAGCAATCCCTAAGTAACCACTTGATTCTTCTTTGGTCCACAGGCAAGCCACTTTCTATGCCTAAGCTTAACGACTTAAGATATTTAATTCACCTAATACCAAATGATGCAAAACCTCTGTATCGCTCCCTTTACAGTAACAGTACAGTAGAAGATGACATTGACGGATGACTTTGGCATACAAGATGAGTAATGTTTATTTACTATTTTCATAATATTCAGAAAATTGTGCTTACTGTGAACACTGAGTTAAAGTTTTTTTTATATTTTTGATTAATTTCTTATAGTCCAGGCTGTGAGGCCGCTCCTGTTGGGAAAATGTTTCTAATTCGGTTTCTTTGCGGATTCCGGTTCAAAAATGTCCCCTTTAAACAAATCTGAAGGGTGCCGGGCGAAATTTTTGGGCAGAAATTGTTTAAACAATTTTTTTAAACAAAGTCCAAAAATATTTTTTTTTAATCTGAAAAACGTTTTTTTAGGTTTTCTGGGCCATTTTAAATAAAAAAAGTCTCTTGTCATTTTTCTCTAAAGTTGATAGTTTTCGAGTTATAAGCGATTTAAAGTCTGAAAAACGCGAAAATACGCATTTTTGAGGCTTGAAAACACATATGCAAATTATTATTTTTGAGGTTACCAAGTGTCTAAATTAAAGCCTAAACATTCAACTTCAAGATTGTGAAGAGTAATCGGGGCTTATTTTAATTTAGACCGTTATTTTTTAATTGTTAAGTATGCGCGTATACTCGATTTTTCAGCCGCCGCGGCGCCGCGCGCTACCGTGCGCCTCTATCGTACTTATGCATAGTTTACATATACTTACAAATAATTATTATTTATTAAGTATATATTTATTTATATCAATTGAGTTATAATATAAATTTCGTCTTAAGTCTAATAATAGTTACATAAAATAATTGTACAAAAGATTGTTAAATAACACACTAATATCACTCAGTAAAAGTATCTTTGTTTTCACAAAAATCTAAATCACATCCACATAATGGTACACAGTTGACATGATTTTTCTTGCAGTTGCAAGCATTAGTTTTGCAAGTCTTTTTGCATTTGCACGGTTTCCCAACCCACCACTATCAGACATATAATATCCATATTGTGTAAAATCGAGAGTTTGATAGCGGGAATATATGGCATTTCGCCAAATATATGTTTTAGCGAAAGCTCTTAACAAGTGTTGGTAAAGTGCGTCAGAGGTACAAGGTATATTGGCTAGATTAAATTAAATTTTTCAGTCACACTGTCTTTTCGTCGAAGAGCAGCATTTTGTATTGTTATGTAAAAATCTACTTTAGGTTTTTGCACTAACTTAATATTGTTGATGTTATTACAAAAAATACAAACTAAATTTTCTTCGGTAAGTTTTCATTTAAGAAGAGGTACGGAAAAAGACATTTTAAATCCATTCACAATTTTTTTAATAACACATTAATAATATAATACCCTTTTAATGGGCATTAAACAATAGTCTTCCTAATGATCGTTTAAGTAATAACAAATCAAGTATGAGCGCGCGATTGTTAAACAGGTAAAAACTTGCATTTTTGCGATAGTATATTGTTTTTAAACACCGCGCAATTTAAAATTAAGTTTACTAATATTAATATTTACTGCATTGTATTATTTAAATAATAATTTAAAAATATTATTTACAATTGATATAAATAAATATATACTCAATAAATAATAATTATATTGTTCAAATTTGGAAGAAAAAAAAACTATATACGGTTATTACATTGCGAAGATTGATTTATTTAATTAGCCCAATGACAATAATTAATACCTACATAAATAAATTATGGAAAAAACTATGTTAATAAACTTCAAAAATTTGTTCGGGTTTTTTTGCGTAAGTGTATATGTAAACTATGCATAAGTACGATAGAAGCGCACTCTAGCGCGCCGCGCCGCGGCGGCTGAAAAATCGAGTGTACGCGCATATTTAACAATTAAAAAACAACGGTCTAGATTAAAATAAGCCCCGATTACTCTTCACAATATTGAAGTTGAATGTTTAAACTTTAATTCAGGCACTTGGTAACCTCAAAAATAATAATTTACATATTGTGTTTTTAAGCCTCAAAAATGCGTATTTTCGCGTTTTTCAGACTTTAAATCGCTTATAACTCCAAAACTATCAACTTTAGAGAAAAATGACAGAAGACCTTTTTTGTTTAAAATGACCCAAAAAACCTAAAAAAATGTTTTCCAGATTAAAAAAAATATTTTTGGAATTTGTTTAAAAAAAATTGTTTAAACAATTTCTGCCCAAAAATTTCGCCCGGTACCCTTCAGATTTGTTTAAAGGAGACATTTTTGAACCGGAATCCGCGAAGAAACCGAATCAGAAACATTTTCCCAACGGGAGCGGCCTCACAGCCTGGACTATTAAGTAATATAAAATATTCAAAACAACGACTTTTATTGTCATACTCAAAAAGAAAAAATAGCTAGTGGCCTACTAATCATTCACTAAAGGTGATATTTTAGTTACGCATCACTAGACCAAACGACCATGTCGCTTGGTTTATTGATGTATAACACAATTACACAATGTGGCGAGAATCGTAAGTCGACCAAAAGCCTTTTATTATTTTTTTTTTTTCGTTTTTCTTCAATATTAGCAAATTATTATTTTCGCACAGAGAAAACATAAAAAACTGTCTTCGAAAACAAAACGTTACGACTATTGTAACACATACTGAATTTTAATAGAATGAAAACTTTAAAGTCAAATATTTCAAAATTAATTTTTGGCGCTTGGTCTAGTGATGCATAACGCCGTCCAAACACACTTACTCCAGAGAACCAAACAGGAATCTCAATCGTAAAATGTTTTAAAAACTCCTGCGATATCACGTTAGAAGTATTTTGGTACTTTATTTTTAAGGTGTGATAGTATATTTTCTCTTATTTGATATTAATACTCAAGTCTTTATTATAATTATTTAAAATAAATAACGATAAACAATTCGTGCTTTGTTCTTATAAAATGTTTTTTATATAACTAGTAAAATAGGTTTTATACATTTTTTCTTCACTTATAAGTGTGTTATTCCAATCTTTCCATCTGAATATCTCTAAAATATTTATACAACCCAAAAAGCACTAACTTTTTACAATTTTGCACACCGTTTACGCTGTTACACTAGAAATGTAGTTAGCTAAATTTTCTGAAATTTAAAATAAAATTTTCTTATATGTTAAAACTGTGTATTTTTTAAAACCCCAAACGCCAAATCTTATTTATTTCCCTTCTAAATTTTGATCCTAAATTGATTGCAGATGTGCCGCATGTGCATCTGCAAGCACAATAACGTTAAAAGTTTTGGAAACATTACATCTCCCTAAGGATTATACTTGAAGCATACAGAACAACTCCAATTATTAGCATACAAGCTGAAATAGATGAACACACGCTAAAGCTTCGTAGGCAGCCATTAACTGTTAATTACAGTTTTAGCATAATTGTTACTAGAAGAATTCCAATACCTAAATAACATTTTTTACAAAGGCAGCCCGAGCTGCCTTTGTAAAAATGAGAAACGTACTTTGCAGTCATGATCTTAGCATTGACCTTAGAGTTCGTATGATATCTTGCTACATCTTTCCTGTC